TGACAGCAATAACTTAAGCAGACCCTTAGAATGACCTCGTGTGGCAGATGCACCTGAATGTGTGTTCCCAGCTAGGGAATCCAGAAGTTGCCAGCCTGGAGATTCAGTCCTTGTCTTTAAGGAACATCTGAGCCCTGCAGCTTGTCTCATGGAACAGGTGTGACTGAGGCCCTGAGTTCTGGGTTGCATGAAGCATGCCGCGTGGAGGTCCTTGGTCAGGGAGAGTGTTAAGTGAAAATGCTACATGAATTGCATGATGCTTGCAGGCAGGTGCGGGTCTCCTGTCCAGCCCGCTGCCCCCGGACTCTCTCCCTTCTCTGTAAGCCCCTAATAAAACCCGGGCTGGCTCTGGATCTCTTCAGTCTCTTGAACCCCTATTAAAGTTAATAGGGGTTCGGCACGTCGATTGACCTACTGCTTGCTGTTTCCTTCTTTTTTCAGCTCTGGAGTATCTGAAGGCAGAAATCATGATTCCAGAACCTAGAACTGACAGACCCTAAACTCTGATCAGTCACCTTTGTCCTGCAAACAGCCGCCTTGGCCACTCTTTGACTTTCTAGAGAATTAGAAATTAGTTCTGTTTTTTTTTTTTCCCCTCGTGTTTTCATTTACCAGCTTCTAATTAACCTCCTAACCAGCACTAATATATGGAATTGATATAATTTCAGCCCAGTGCAGAAAAACTTGATATTTTTACTTTTCAGGACAGCTTTATCTTGAGTGAAAACTCTAATTGCAGTGAGGCTTTTTGAAGCTAGACTTCAGCTGTTCCTGAACCCTGCCTGCGAACCACTGTGCACTGGATGATTAAGAGACAGCTGAGGTCATCTCCTTGGACGCCTTTGAGTTTCGGATTGATAAACACGTCTGAGCTGCTCAGTATCAGTCCACATGGGTTGAACTTTAGCCAAACCACTCAAGGAAACTTGTGTCGCTTTGTTCAGTATCTGAAACCAGCCTTTTCCCACTTGAATAAGGTTCTCTTCCAAGTGGTTCACTAGGAATGAAATATAGTTAGCTCTGCCAGAATTGCCCCAGACAGCGCTGACCCCATGCTGTGTCGGGCTGGCACTGCCGCCTCCGTACTCTGAACTGGAGATCCGCTTGCAGGCATCTGCTGGGCCTCCCCGGTCAGGGAGGGAGGAGGAAGGGCAAGACAAGGCATTTGAGAGCTCCGAGGCCTATGCTAATCCTATGCTTTTTTTTTTTTTTTTTTTTTTTTTTAAAAGGTAAAGGACAGTTGCCTTAGCTCTGGCTACAGACTAGGGATCTGGAGTGGTTCTCTCCATGTATAACACAGATTAGATTTGGTTATGATACATACCCGAGTCCAAGATCTGCTCATTACTGACCCAGCCAGGTGACACTATTCAACCAGGCTTCCCCCTCCCCCACCCGCCCCGAGCTAACATCTAAGAGAAGCAGTATCGTTGAAAACAAACTCGGTGTGTGTACATTCATGGTCTTGCTTCTTGACATAGCCTGACATGGTTCCTAGCTGATTTGAGAGGTTGGAGCCGGCCACCCAGGGTGGCAGATAGCCCAGACAGATGGCAGCAGCAGATGCGATTTGCAAAATGCGACTGTCAAGGTTCTAGCCCTTTCGTGGTGATCTTTGTCAGAAGAAAGAGCACGCTGGCTTTAAAATCAGACAAGTGTGCATTCAAAGTCTGGTTGTGGGACATCTGGTCATTTGGTTCCTTGGCTGAATGATAAGATGTATCTCCTAGGGTTACTGTGACGATTCTTGCAACTGACACTAAGGTGAAGCCACAGCCAGTGTCTCACTGGGATCAGAGCATGCTCTTCTCCCAGCCTGTCACTGTTTCTATCAGTTGGAGAGTGGGAGAGCAGGGATTCCCTGAGCCTCCTGAAGGCTGACTTTAGCCTCTTGGTGACTTCAGTTTTCTGGACAAATAGGCCACCTCAGAAACAAGTTGAGTGACAGCACCTGGCAGTATTATGCCCACAAAGCTCACAGCCTTGGGCTGTCATCAGAACAAGGCTCATAACTCTCTTCTTAACCCTGAACTGCTCCTCTGGAGTTGCCTTAGTCAGGGACTCATCACTGGACTTCCGTCTCAGATGCTGGGAGTTGGAGGAAACCAGCCCAGGTGCCGCAGAAGACACTGCGCCAGCACCATGCTGGTATTGGGGATGCAGAATCGTCCAGGACTCCCTGCAGGGGGCATCTCGCTGCCTGGCCCTGTACCTGGGACAAGTAGTGTGGCTTGGCAGTGCTCAGCACACTCGCCCAACACGCAGCAAAGTGCTGCTGAAAACACTGGAAAACCCTGGGTTGTGGCTTTAGTGAGAAAAAAGCAAATCTCAAGGTTACGGAGAATTCAGATAATCCCTTGGATTTTGCAATGGTAAAATTTTGTAGTATTAAGGATCCAAATTAAAATGAAGAGGTATGTACGGTATCAGTGTTAATTGCCTTCTAGCCCTCCCTCCTTTTTTTATTTCTAAAGGGAGATGCGTGTAGTGCTAGTGAAGTACTTTTAGAGAAAAGCCCACACCCGTTCTATATATTTCTGTCTTCTTGAAGCTGGCCGTAGAAAATCCTTGAATGAATCCTTTGGTAAGGTCCTTCTACAGTCTAAGTGACCTTATAGGTGTTTATCTTTCAGGCTGGTACTGTTTTTTGTACAAAAGTGTACACTTTCCTGATGGATTTTGATAACCGATTATAATTAAGACCTGCTTTGAAATGCTCTTCCTTAACACAGGTTTTGAGTAAGCTCAGAACCCCATGTTAAACTTGGGCAGTCTTCATTTAAACCCAAAGAGAGAGATGTCAATCACCGTGGTTTTTTTTCTACTTAGGGTGTACATTGAACACATGGACAGTTTGTCAATGGAATGCTTTTCTCAAGGAAAACATCTCATGCAACCTTCACCTTTTACACTTGAGTCCCAGTGGCCACTGGTACCTTTCAGTGGATTTTCAATAGCCTCACTTTTGTTGGAGCTGTTGCATCAGCCCAAGCCCTGCTCCATCCTCTCTGGCTTTTCCTTTACTGATTGTGCTTGGAGAGGCCGTGCTCTGACTTGTCCACTGTGCCTAGTATCAGAGGACTCAGGTTCTAAATCCAGCTCATTGTTCTTTTGCAGGGGCTGGCAGAGAAGCTGCTCGGGCTTTTGCTCTGCTGTTGGCATAAGGAGTGTCTCCTCTGTTCACATGCAGAAGAGATTAGAGATGTGCAAAGCCCACTCATCCGAAGTCCAAGGCCTGAGGTCCAAGGCCTGAGTGATTCCTCACTCTGCAGTCAGTTGGGAAAAACCTTTAGTGTCCCTGAGAAAGTGAACTCCTCTGTAAATATGGGCATTAGAATCCATCCTGGAAGTGTATCAGAAGGATTAAATCATATTACTCATGAGACACAGGGCACACAGTGGGAGGCCTGTGTTTGGACAACCCAAACAACCGCATAAACAATTCCTTGCCATTTGCCTGTGGAAGGCGTGGACTCTGGGCAAATTCACTTTCCAGTTAAAATCTAAACAATACAACTTGCGTGTATAAGAGCCCCTGAAAATGACACATACAGAGGCGGTGTTAGGGGCATGGTGCCCAGCACATTGCCCTGTGCTGATGGCTTTCTTCAGTGGTGTCAGCATGAGAAACAAGAACTCTTGGTCAAGCACTGAGTTCAGATTCCAGTACTTCCATTTTGAAAGGACCTGTCATTTCATGATAAACACCTAACAGGAAGAAGGGCAATCTGCCTAGTATACATCTGACATCTTGCCTGAAGATGTATTCTCATTGTGTTTGGCCATCACCTGTTCCTTGCCTTAAATTATATATATATTAAAATGATGCGGCCTTTAAAATAATGCTAGGGAATGGATAAAAAGGAATTAATTTTTAAATCAAAATTTATGAACTTGCCTTATAACATTTTTATGATAGCCCTATTTGAATTATCTTCTTCTCTTTGACTAAAATAGCATTCGATTTTTCTGTGGGGTATTAACATTTTGGGTCATAATCATGCTAGGGATGAATTAATAGATCTTCTCTGAGTGAACTGTCAAGACAGATCCCCACTGGGTTTGAAAGGTAATTAAAAATGTCAGTGAATTCACTTGAAGTCCACAGAGTGCTCCAGGGTCCCCTCGAAAACGTTAGTCAAAGACTGAAAATATTTACCAAGTGCAGTGAGCATAATGCAGCATCCAGCTCTCCACAGCTAGGAGAGAGCTGGTCACCTTTGTCAGGCGCCTCTCATCTTAACTTCCTTCTCGTTTTGGAGTGTTCGTCTCAGAAGTCTTGAAAGCAGGGGTGCTTTTTCACCCAAGGCTATGGTCCAGTTGGTAACCTCTTAATAAATGGCTGGTGCAACAGACCTCCAAGAGAGGAACGAGTCTCTAAATAATATCCATGCCCTTTGTAACCCTTCTCCCTCATTAGACTCCCAGACTGGCCACTTTCTAATTGGCAGCCACCCTTTTATTTCTGGGAGGCTTTTAAAGGTGGGGTTCATTGGGAGGAGGAAGTCTGGAAGGGACTGGGAGCTCAGGTCACTTGATTATGGGCTGGCTGTCCCCCACACCCCATTACCTCCTTCCACCTGCTGTTCACCGGGTGTGTGGTTGGCCTTCCCCAGCCGAGTGTTGGAGCTTGCCCAGGGAATGAAAGGTGGGAAGGGGGAGGAGTATGTGTTGATGGAGGTCTTTAGGCACAGAGCAGCTTTATTCTGGGATATATTTAAAACATTGGTTTCAAAATACATAAAATTAGCCAAGGGTAGTGGCACATGCTTGTAGTCCCAGCTAATGGGGAGGCTAAGGCAGGAGGATCACTTGAGCCCAGGAGGCGGAAGTTGCATTGAGGCAAGATCATACCACCACACTCCAGCCTCGGTGACAGAGGAGACCCTGTCTCAAAAAAAAACATTGGTTTTAGGCAAACGAATAACCAGTTATTTTTTAAAGTGGTTACTTAAAATCAAAGAAGTAAGCAGACCTAATATACGCTTCTTTCTTTTTAGATTTCATGTGTTCCTTGTATACAAGCGACGTCCCAAATTATAATTCTCTGCTGAGGTTTGAGAATTTGGAGAATCCCTGCAGCTTTGTAACTTCAGAGGTGTAATTAGCTGAAAACGTCGTCATTTTGAAGAGTTCTGCGTTTTGCCAGTCACCTCTCAACTGTGTGCCAAAGGTGAGTCTGCAGTTTTCTGTTTAAAACAGAAGTTGCAGCTTTTTGCCTCAAGTGCTCAATTTGGACAGTAAGTTTAGTAAAATATCAGTCAGTGTAGCCTTGATTTGTTGAATCATATTAAATTTAGGCTTTCAATGAGGGACCTGGTTCAAAAATTAGATTATCTCTGTTCCTGCTTTAGTGTGTGATGGTTCTGAGTATGTAGCCTGGAAGCGGGATGGTAGACACCTCCAACCTGTAAGATGGTACAGGTACCTCCACACTCAGATACATACCGACTCTTGAATCGATAACGAATCCTGGTCCCCTGTATTCTATATGGGACAGGGAGTATAAGGATAAATAACCACTTTTCTGGTGCTTTCAGTCTAGGAAAGGTTGGATTCCAGCTTTGATGCTGAGAAGATAAATCTACATCAAAGGATAACTGGGCATGGTGACATACACATGTAGTCTCAGCTATTCAGGAGGCTGAAGCAGGAGAATTACTTGAACCTGGGAGGCGGAGGTTGCAGTCAGCCAAGATTGCACCACCGCACTCCAGCCTGGGCGACACGGCAAGACTCGGTCTCGGGGGGGAAAAAAAAAAGAAGCCTACATCAAATGAGATGCAGACAGATGAAGGATTCTCGGGAAGGTTTTATCTGTTCATATGAAAAACCTTCTTGTGTATGTTACAATTAAACCATAACTGTGATGTAGCATGTGGATTCTGGGATCCAGGGGTGCTATCACCACAGGCACCAGACAAAAACATGTCACTATGTAACAAAAATATTTCTTAGCCCTAACAGTTTGAGACATTTAACCTAAAATATGAATTGCTGTGTTTGGTGGTCCAGTTAATCCAGGGTTCTGTTTCTGGCTGGGCAGGAAGCAGTGCTTTATGAGAAGATAAATTTTCACTTCCAGTGCTTTGTCCCAGAATGAACTGTAAGAACAACATTAGCTTTCCTTAAAAACTTTAATTTGCTTCTATTATTTGCAGATTGTTTTAAAGTAATCTTGAAACTATCATATTGGACTATGGAATCTCTTGGTGTGGTGGTTTCTGAAAATTATCTAGAAAGTTAGAATTTCCTCTTACTTGGTCTGCTACTACTACAAACACATCTTGTGAATATGTTCTTTCTCTTCGACCACCTTAAAAGAAAAATCTCTTTTTGATTTCAGTTATGCCCCTTTGATGTTTGGTGTTTAGAACAGCATAAGATTAATATGCAAGAAGGATAGGATTAAGTGTCTTAGTGATGTTGTCTTGTTATGCTTTATGTTATCTTTTGGAGAAAATGCCATATTGTTCCGTTGATTTAGGGTGTTGTGTGTTGTGATTTCCAGAGCTAGCTCCTGGTCGGCACTCACACTGCATACCTGACTTCACCCCAGCCATTGTTGGGTCTTTTAGCTTTGGATCCCCTCATGCATTCATGGGACATTCCCAGTTCTCTCTTCCAGACCTTATGCAAGACAAACACCCTAGGGGTGTTCCCGCTCCAAACCTAGGAGATTTTATCTTGCATCAGAAAACTTCTCAAACCCATGGTAACTCTGTTTTCTTTAAAAAACAAACAAAAAAAGCCCTTGAATTGGACTTTTTAAAAACAGTCATTTGCAAATGCAGTCGTGTATCAATCCACTTGTCAGATTTCAAGGGAATGGAGTATAAGCTGGAAATAACAGATCTTCTGATCGGATCATCAGAACTCATTGATAATTTATTAGCATCAGAATCGGACACTACTTCTGTAGAAAGGTCTTGATCATGAGTGACATGAGCAGACCTGAGGTGGTTGTTGGTGCTGGTTCAGAAGCTGGTGAGGCAGGGGAGTATGGCATGCTCACCCAGCAGCTCGGTCTGCAGGAGCTCTCAGCACACGAGTGCCACGTAGACGAGACAATAAATGGAGACCATGAGAGCCGGCTGGCTTGCAAAAATATCTACCCATGTAATTTTAAAGGATGACTTTTATTTCATAAGTGATAAGGTCCACACAAAACCTTGGTTCACCTATTAAAATTGACTTTTGTGGTTTAGAAACATGTTAATTTGGAAAATCATGAGATGTAGCCATTCATGTAATCAACATCTATTGTGAACATTCCACCTGTATTCTGGGCTGTTTTTCTTGCAGTGACTGTTTTAGCAGTTAAAAAAAAACCATAGATAAAATATAGTCCCAGCCACCTTTTCCCATGCCCTTTTGGGATGGGACCCTGACAGTTTGGGACTGTGCTAACTGCTGAAGTGGAAGTTCTTACAGTCAGTCCCTGGTACCTGAGGCAGGGACCCACTGACCCTTTTGGGGACAGTATGGAAAAGCCAGGGGATGCTATGCTGGGAACAAGTTTTAAAGAATGAGGGGACATGCGTACAGAGATATAATGTGTTTCCTTGGAACGGGGCAGGCTGATTGGACCAGCTGGGCCATGGTTCCCGGAGACTGCAGGTCACTTAGACAATACTGGGTTGGGGACCAGGCATTTGCCATTTGGCCGGTGGTCTTTGAAGTGCCAACAGGGAAAGCAACAGCTCAGTCAGCCATACCCTTTGGCATGTCAGAAAGAAATGAAATGCTGGCCTGGTAGAACAGTAAGCAGGATGTCAGCCTTGGGTGCATTTCCCAGTTAGTGGGCACTCAAGGTTTGCATGCCTGGGGCTGGGCTGAGAGCAGCTTGAGGAGGATGGCAGTGTCTGAGGGCCTGAGTAACGTCTCAGCCCATTTCCACGTGGTGCCTTTCCCTACCCTGTTTTCTGGTCTCCCCAGTGAAGTGAAGGAACAAAGTCTTGGAACCCTCCGGCTCTGACCCTGCCTTCTTTGGGGAGTGGAGACCACAGGAAGAGCCTGAAGGCCACCACAGTTGTCATTTTGGCAAATGCATAATCTGCACTTAATTCTTTCCATGTGCACTTGGAAAGTGACTGTAATTGACTGTTGGAGGCTGGCCATTCATTACTAGGGACGGAGGATGTGAAGGACCTTGTCTGCTATGCTGCACGTTCGTTTGACTTTTGAAAAGCTTTTGGAGGCTTTTTCACGACAGACATGTCCTAATGGACAGAAGGATGGTGTAGTGGGGTAGGAAGGACAGTGGCTTAGGTGACACAACTCAAGTCTGAGTAAAGTAAACAGGACTGGATTTCACAAACCGAGTCACGTGGTGATATGCATGTCCAGCGTGTAAATGTCCGCAGTGAGCCTACACACATCGTTTTCCATTCTGTGATAGAAACAGCAGCGGCTGTGTTTAACTGAGCAGTGAGCACGAGAAGATGAAACGTGGAGCCTGTCACTCTTACATCCATAAAAACGCCATCCAGTAATACTTCTTTAACTACTAAAGTTTACTACTTATCTTCATATTAGCCTCAATTTATTTCAGAACGATTTTTCCTAGACTGTGTACACTTGGAAAAGTCATCTAGAATTTACTCCTCACTTTTGTCATATCCTGGCTTTTTGGTATTTTGGAGATTGCTGGTAGCTGACTTGGCCCCCAACAGGTTATTTAGAAAGATTTTTTACGTGCAAAGCCCGGTGCTCAGTCATTAAGTTTTTAAGGCTGAAGCTTCTGTTGAGCGTGTGGCTCGGAGGTCTCTGATACCTGGAAGTAACTTGTGGAGTTTGTGCCTAAACAGAGGGGCCCGTCTCAGCCTCCTTCTGCCGCACACTGGGCCCCTGGGTGATCTGGGGCAACAGTCTCTGCAGCTTGAACTGATTGTTTCTTCTTTATAGCATACTGAATATAAAGAGATGGCCACAGCCTTTAACACTGTGGTTAAATCTGTGGCAATTGGTTAAATAATTAACCAGTAAGTATTGACAGCTGCTAGAAAAAAAAAAAATACTGCCACATTGATTCCACAGTGCCCCTGGCGGTGCAGTCAGTGGAAGCAGCTGTCATCTATGGGGTCATCGTTGGCAGGTGCGCGGCACAGGGCTTGTCACCGCTTGTGTATTACCTCTGGTCGCAAATGCAGATGTTATTGTCCCCATTTAATAGATGGGGACACGGAGCCTCAGGAGAGGTTAAGGAGACTGTGACACAGCTGTGCTTGCTCAACTCTGTGACTCTGGACAGTCCCCTTAACCTCTCCTGCGGCTTTGTGTCCCCATCTATTAATGGCAGCCCAGGAAGCAGAAGGTCTGTTGCTTACCAGCCCACGTTCCTTCTGCTTCCCGGGCTGCCGTCTCTGACATATGATGGTGGTGACATGGTAACCACCCATTCTCCAAGTGCTTATCTTAAACTGAGATGTGAGGCTCTGGGAGATTAAATGACTTGGCCAAAGCCCAGGGCTCCTAGGTGGCAAAGCAGGCTGGGAGCTCCCATTTCCTGACCCAAAAAAGCCTTTCTTTCTTACTGTACCAGGAATTTCATGAGATTGATTTTTTTCTCTTCTAGAAAAATCTCCTGCATCTAAGTACAGTTTGGAGAGTCTCTTTGGAAACGTAAGGGTGTATGAAGGAAGACTTTGGGAGGTTTGAGAGGGGAGGGAACTGGAAACCTGAATCCCCCGAGGGCTTCTGCTGCCCCGGGGTCAGCTTAGCAACTCCTGTGACTTCCAGCTCCGCACATGTGGGCCCAGGATGGTGCTCAGAGTCGCCTGTATTGGGGATCCCCAGCTTAGCATGAGTTAAGAGAAGTTCTCTGTACAGGCCAGGGGACTTTGTATTTAACAGCCACTTCTGTGTGCGCTGAGGCCATCTCTGTGGTCCCTGACTCTTCCCATAGCACCCCTGTTCAGGGCGAAGCATCATAAAATTGTGATTTAACGTTCTTGCATGGTCAGTGACATAGTGCTTTTCTCTTAGTTGTGGTGGTGATCAAGGTTATGCCAAGCATTTTTTCGTTTCTGTCATAGCTGATATACCCTAGCAGTGTGGTTTCCTAGAAAGCTGAAGAAACAAAAACAAAGCCAATTCCTGTACCCCTCAACCTTCTTTTCCTTAGATAGAAACTGAACACATAACATTCTAGTCATTTTTCAATGATTCTCT